TTTTCTCCTGCTACTTCATGTATTCCTATCAGTCTTATGTTATTCTTCTTTGCATCATCTAGGAGTTGTTGGATCTATTTCTCATGATCTCTTACTGTTTTTAGGAGACCTCTCTGTTCACAGTCACTGATTGCAGTCTTATCTTCTATATCTGAGAGCCTATCTTCGCATTCTTTTATTCTGTTGCGTACACTTTCAATAGAGTGTTTAATCTCCTGGATATCTGTTTGAATCTGTTTTATGGATTCCATTTCTTTCCTATGTTGGGCGTTTATTTTTTCCATTTCTTTCTTATGCTGGGCCTTCATGGCTTCTATCATGGTCCTGAGCTCATCTATTTTTTTGTCAGTTTCTGCTCTAGAGTCTCGAATCACGACTTCCATTTTGCTCACTATCTCTATGGTTATCTGGGAAATTATTTCTGTTTTGAATTTTTCTAGAGCCTGATTGATCTGTTTTGTTACTTCCTGTGCTTTGAGTTCAGGGTGTCCTGGTGGTTCACTATCGGCCTTTTCATCCTCATTTGCCCTACTGTTTGCCATTGGTGAACTGGAAGTCTGTCCTTGTGTCTTGCTTAAGTGTTTTCTCATTTTAATTTTTGTTGTCGGACTGTCCTTGGTTTAATCTCTGGATTATCACCCAAATCTTCCTGATATAGTTGCACCCTAGCTTCTGTGTCTCTAACGACCCACAGACATTCTCATCTTCATAACATCAGAGAAAACAGCTCAGCAAATCAATGGCAATGCTTTACCCCAACTGATACAATCAGCAACACATTAAGATCAAGCACAACTTGGACACTGACCACCTGTGGTAGTCACTAGTCTATCACCCTTAAATCATTTGAATTAAATTGAAATCAAGAAGCAGTCCAGAACATGTCTGCAGTGAACAAACTTTTCAATATAGTATATTTACCATTTAATGGCTCAGACAGAGCGAGGATGCAAGACCCCTGATCTCAGTTAACTGATTGCTGAACCCCATGACGCTGACTGACCTTGGGCTGCAAGGCCCAGATTGAGTTCCCCATCCTTCTGAATGGTTGAACTCCGCAACGTTCTATTACAGGTTTCCCACGCCCTTTCTTTAAAGATGTTCAAAGTTGGGAACTCAGAAAAATACCCTTGATGACCACCTCTGTCTTTGCAGAGTGGGTCTAAAGACTTGCAGAATCAGGAGGTCTGAGAGTGCGGGGGGCCGCGTTATGGGGGTTCAGGTGGCGCCCGCGTGGCTACCTTCCCGGCCTTGAGCGATGGCTGCTGGGTCGGGAGCAGGCGTGGTTCTCCTTTCCATGGTGGATCGGGCCCGGCCTACCTTCCCGGCCTTGAGCGATGGCTGCTGGGTCGGGAGCAGGCGTGGTTCTCTAGAGATTGGTTTTTAAAAGTGGTTCTTTCATGATTCAAGTGTGTCTTCCCATGTGCACTTCTACACATTTTCTTTTCTTTCTTTTTTCTTTTTTCTTTTTTTTTTTTTTTTTTTTTTTTTTTTTTTTTTTTTTTTTTTTTGGTACCAGGGGTTGAACTTGGGCCCTTGTGCTTATGAGGCAGGCAGTGGAACCACTGAGCCAAATTCCTACCCTTACACATTTTATTTATGCATTTTGTACTTAAATTTACTTAAGAACAGTTTGATAAAGAAAGTTTCTCCACTCTGTTACATTCCCACTAAAAATAAACCATATAATAGATATTTTGAAATGATAGTACTGTCCTAGAAATTATTAACAAATGGTTATTATCAATTTTGAGATGAAGTTTTACTTGAACTTGTAGTGATCCTTCTGCCTCAGCCTCATGTGTGCTGGCATTAAGGTGTGTGCCACAGTGCCCAACCAGAATATGTTCATTTTTAAGTAAAAGAAATTAAAACCTAAATGGAAAGAAACCAATGAAGATCCTCTAAAGGAATTTTGTTGGCCCTTCTTTGAGAAACTTAATTTTATATTCTAGGACTAAAAAATGTTTGTAAAAAATTCATAAAAGTTTTAGAAATTTGAAAAGTATAGTACAGTAGAAAAGAAGAAGGGAATTACCCTGTGGTAGTTACCCTTTTTATTACTCCTCCTATATTTTTGTTTGGATATATCTATTTTCTTTGTATACAGAGATGATATTATGAATAGCTATTTGTTTGGACTTATTTTCCTTAACAGCAGTGGGAAAGCCTATTTTGCTGGAGCTCCTCAATGGTAAAAGACACATTTTGTGACTCCTCTAGCAATCTCTTCCCACAGAAGAGAATGAATCCAGCTAAATCTTTTAGGTATTGACTCTATTACTTCCTTTCTTGTTGTTACTGTTTTGTTTCAAGTAACTGAATTAGTTTATTTCTCAGTTTCTAAGCTGTATGCTGGAGACGAACCACTTGACAGATAATTCTTTTTATTTGTTTGGGCCCTAGCAATTATATTATTAATGGCATTGTGTCTGAAGGTTTATATCTATCTCTATATAATTTTATATATGTGTATACACACACACAATTTATATATATATAAAATTTTAAAAAATAACATTCTTTTGCTGATTTGAAACCTACAGGAAAGTAATTTTGATCATCTTGATTTTGATTTGGATTTGATGCCTTGGGAGTCAGACATGTGGAGCATAAACAACCAATTCTGTACAGGTAATAATATCCTTCATTGTTGAAAGCTTTAACTAGATCCATTTTATTTTGTAGCTTGGTAATACTCAGAATGAGGTGGGGTTATTGGACTGTTTTGGTAGGTTAAAAGATTTCAGGAACTATATATCCCATTTCTGGTATAGCAAAGCATAGATGCATTTCTTTCCATAAGGAATATAAAGAATTTCATAGTTATGTTCAGAAGTATAACAAATGAATAGACCATATTAGATATAGAAATACTGATTTCAGATTATGAAAAATACCACTGTAGGAGACTCAACTATCTAGGGATCCAAGGGATTAGGGAACCAAAAGGAGGAGGTTGGGGTTACCAGAAGCTGGGAGCTTGGTGGAAGGATCATGCATTGCTGTGCATGCTTCTGAGGAGAGGTGCTGTTGGCTGATGGTAATGTCCTTAAGGAGCTTGAGGAGGTGAAGGGGTGTGTTGGGAGAAGCTGAAACCTGGAAAAATTACCGCTGCTGGGCCAAAGCTCATGGGAGGAAAAAGAAGTACTTTCTCTTATTCTACCATCCTTCTAGTACTCCCAATTGATAGGGCCTAAAAGGAAGCCAGCTGGGCAATATGGTCATGATTTGCATCACAGCATATAGCAGAGGGGGTAAACAACCAGCGCATTCCCTCATCTAATTTCCCCTCTATTCCTTTCATTTTATATCTTGCTCAATGCCTGTCTTCCCTTGTAGAATTGGGGATATACAAGGCCCGTGTCCTGATTACTATTGTGTAATAAACCCATGTAATAAGCCCACCTAAATTCAAAGCAAGGGGGAATAGACTCCACTTCTTGACTGGGAAGTGGCAAGGTCACATAATAGAAGATCATGAGGAGTGGTAGAGATTCTGTGGCTTTGGAAAACACAGCCTGCCACTCCTGCTCGGTTATATCTTTGACAGGAATACTGCCTGGGCTGTATTGCTCATAAATTTTTATAGGATACATTAATAGTTTAAAAGATGAATATTTTTGTGGTTTTAATTATATCATTATAAATGCTTTCCAAAATAATTATTTCCTTTTCCTTAATATTAAAAAAATTGGGGTGAATCTAATTTGCATATAACATTCAAAAGTCTCAAAAGTTTATGAAATAGAAAAATGTCTCCTGCGCTTATTCCCCAGCCAACAGGTTCTACTCCTCACTGTCAACAACTACTGTTACCAATTTCTTTTGTTTAAACCTCCTAAGAATCAGGGCAGATATCAGCAGGTATATGTACAACTTATAACACAAATGGAAACTTATCTAGATACACTGTTTTCTGCATCTTTCATATTCTCTGAATGATGGTGACCTTAGCTTCCATAAGAGTAGATTTTGCTTTCTTTTTCATTTATTTTATTCTGAGTTTACATTGTCCAGTGAGAAGAACCTTTATTCCATGTTTTTCAGTTAAAGATATTAAAGCAGAACCTCAGCCACTTTCTCCAGCTTCCTCAAGTTGTTCAGTCTCATCTCCTCAGTCAGTGGACTCTTGTTCTTCAACTCAGCACGTTCCTGTAAGTAGCCAGTCTTTTCCAATGATTTGGGTTATAATGCTGGAAAGTATGTGCATGGGAGGTAATTATCTTTGATGAAGTAGGGGCCTTATTACTACGTATGTCCTGAGGAAGCTGAGATGTGAGGAAGGTCCTGGAGGGAGCTAGGCTCATTTTTAGTTTTTCCTATGATAACAAATAAACTTTTAAATTTAGCTTTGGCTGCTATTTGCATTTTGTCTCAGTAAAATGGCTACTCCTATCCTTTGTCCATTTTTGGCAAACATTTTCTTCCAGCATGTATCTTTTAAAATTGGATCTAGTTTTCACAGTTAAATATTTTTGATTATAATGTTTTTTCTTTTTTTATGGCTTCTGAATGTCTTGATTTAATAGAGCCTACATAATTCTGAAACTAAACAAGTATTTTTGTAAATTTTCTTTTAATAATCTTAGGGATTACTTTGAATATGATATGAAGAGCGTGTCTGTTCTGTTATCACACATATCATCTTTTTCTCTGTGGATTGAAACACTGATTTTATCCGCTATTAAACTTCCTTATTCTAACAAAATGAGACAGATCTACTGAATATGGAAAGACTTAGAAATTATTAAGGTTACCTTTATATATCTCTGTATTAGCAATTCACACATTAGAGAAAACAGCCCTATTGCTTTCAGTGTTTGTCCTTCCGTTAAAGCATTTGGGACAAAGATAGTGTTAATAGATAGGAAAGGATAAAAATGGTAAGAATTATTTTGTGCTTGAGAATCTTTTAAGACTAAATAAAAGAGATTATGGAGAAAAGATATTAGCATTTTAACTGTAGCCTTATAATGAGACTATATGTTTATATAATTAGGAATCAAATAGGTATATATTTTTGTTTGTTTGTTTTTTTTTTTGTTGTTATTGTTGTTTTTTTCAGACAAGGTCTCACTATGTAGTTGAGACTGACCTGGAACTCACTGTGTAGCCCAGGCTGGTCTCGAACTCACAGCCATCCTCCTGCCTCAGCCTCCCGAGTGCTGGGATTACAGGCATGTGCCACCATGCCTGACCTATTGATTTATATCTTTAGTAGAGTAAGATGACATAGCCATACTCCACATTTTGAATTAGCTTTCCTTTGGGATTGGTGAGTGATGTTGATTAATCCATAGTCATGTGCTTAATCTATAGATTAACATATCACATCTTAGCCTTAAAGTTGCCTCAAAGTATTTTTCTGTTTATATATGGGTTTTGTCATCTCTCTTTGTAATATGCTGTCAAATATTATGTTTTTTCTGTATTTATTAATTCATTAATTTTTTTGCTATAGGAGGAGTTGGATCTGTCTTCCAGTTCCCAGATGTCTCCTCTTTCCTTATATGGTGAAAACTGTAATAGTCCATCCTCAGCAGAGCCACTGAAGGAAGACAAACCCATTATTGGTCCTAGAAACAAAACTGGTATTACTGTCTCCTAATTTCTGTTGTTTCTATTTCATGCAGAGCTTAGGTTCTAAGTTTAAACAAAGTTTATTAAACTGGTTTGCTGTTGTTTAAAAATTAGTAGACTTTTTTTTGTTATTAGCGATTACTCTGGAGAGGTAAGGGAAGTAGTAATTTTGGTTGTCACTGTCTTTTTTTTTTTTTTTGGTACTGGGGATTGAACTGGGGTCCTTGGGCTTGCAAGGCAGGCGGCGGAACCACTAAGCTAAATCCCTGGCCCTGTCACTATCTTTATAGGTTAAAGATATTTGAAAATAGCCTTAGACTATCTCATTTTTTCAAGAGAGATTTCAGTTTCAGTTAGATACTGATGGAGTGTGAGGGCCGTTTGACTGTGGTATTTATTACCTCATTAATTTTCAGGCTTTATTCCATGATTTTAGCTCTTCTTTACCAGTTCATGTGTCCCCTTCCCAAAACTGCAGCTTGATCAGAAGAAAGTAAGACCTCAATTAAGGAGCTTTTTAAGTCCATTTAGATACAGAATAGCTATGCTTAAACTCCAGTTACTCAGAAGTTGTCCAAGTAATGTATAAGTAAAGTGTGTAACAGACTGTTTCCTAGGTCTCGCTTAATTGTGTTCAGAGATTTGTGATGTATTTTTTTCTTTTTTTCTTCAGAAAATGGAATGACTCCAAAGAAAAAAATTATGATGAGTTCAAAACCTTCAATTCAGCCCAAACCTTTATTACTTCCAGCAGCACCGAAGTCTCAAACAAACTCCAACGTATCAGCAAAAACCATCATTATTCAGACACTACCAACACTTGTGCCACTTGCAAAGCAGCAGCCAGTTATCAATATACAACCTGCACCCACTAAAGGTACCTGCATAGAATGAGAGGCTGGTAATGTTCATTTGGGAGACAGTAAGGCTTATGTCACATGTTTTGTTTTAATTCAGGTTATAACTTCTGTGCATGTGCTGACAAGAATTGTCTTTGGTTCCAAGGATCTTTTGGAGATGACTAATATATGGTTCTAGTTCTAACAGAGATAGCTTTCCAGATCAGTTACATCTGATACTGCCTTTTCTTTTCTTTTTTTGTTTATCAAATACTAGTCTTTATTGACTCAGAATCTTTAATTTTATTTTCATCAAATCCATTAATTTTTACTACTTTTCAGCTATTGTTTTTTAGGGGACCTTTCCAGAAATTTCCCAATATTTTCTTCTGTTAACTTTTTTTTTTTTCCTCATTGAGTTTATTGGTACATTTTAGGTATACAATACAGTTACATTCATTATTGTAATCTTGTACCTTGACATGACAAGTCTTGGTTCTCATTTTTTTCCCCTTGTCCCTGCCCTCCCTTCACCCCTCCTTCCCTCCCCCTTAACAAACACTTCATTTCCATTTTTCATTTTCTCATATTTTTTTCTTTTCCCTTATTACCTTTCCCCTACCCTTCCCACTTTCCCTACACCTTTAGCCCTTTTCTTCCTATTTCACATTGTCAATTATATCATTAGGATCTTATGTACTATTATAGTTTCTCTGGTGTGATACTGCCTTTTCTTATAGTTTGAATTATGCCAACACCTGTCTTCAGAAGTTTTACACAGGGCTGGGGATTTAGCTCAGTGGCACCGCGTCTACCTGGCAAGTGCAAGGTCCTGAGTTTGATCACTGGTACAAAAAAAAAAAAAAGTTTTACATAATGACTTTTGGTTTTATAATGAAGAGGAAATTCTTGGCACCATTTTATTCAGAGATTTTTGTGGCTATTAACTTTTTTGTTTTTAAGGAATAGTATTTAAAACATGGTAGAGGGCTTGAGGGGGGAATGGGATAAAATAAAGTTTATTTAAAAAATAATATAGTCCATTTCAGGTCAAATGAGTGTGTTTTAGCAATAGAATCTAGCCTGTAATTTCTGAGACCACCTCATATTTAGTACTGAACTAGGTATTAGGAGAACTGAACTCTTGCCTTTAACTAGCTGAGAATTTGTGTTTCAGTGTTTTATCCACTAGATGTCCTCACATACTTGTGATTCTACAAGAATTTAGGTGAATATTGAAAGAAGTTGAAGTTTGAACTTCAACTTCATTTGAAATGCCTGTATAAGGTCAAAGCTGCTGCCTTTTTCTTATGAAGAATTGATACTTTTTTTCATTTTCATTGAGTTTATTGGTACTTTTTAGGTATACAGTACAGTTACATTCATCATTGGGATCTTGTACCTTTACATGTCAGATCTTGGTTCTCATTTTTTTGTTTTTTTGTTTTTTTGAGACAGGGTCTTACTATGTAGTTGAGACTGACTTGGAACTCACTATGTAGTCCAGGCTGGTTTTGAACTCACGGCAGTCCTCCTGCCTCAGCCTCCTGAGTGCTGGGATTACAGGCATGTGCCACCATGCCCGGCTGGTTCTCATTTTTTTTTTCCCATACCCCTGCCCTCTGCTCATCCCCTCCACCCTCCCCTATGTACAAAGACTTTGTTTCCAGTTTTTCCCTTTCTCATATTTTTTATTTTCCCTTATTTCCTTTCCCACTTCCCCTATACCTTTAGCCCCTTTCTTCCTATTTCATATTATCAGTCATATAATTTGGATCTTATTTACACTTTTAGTTTTTCATAGCTGAGAAACTATTTGGTATTTACACGAGTTTCTTGTTTATTTCACTTAAGAGTATGGCCTCAGTAGGCATCCATGAAATAGATACTCTTGTTACCTTTAAATGGGTGTTAAGCCCTCACAACCTCCTTGAAATAAATTGCATGATTTCTTTTTTTGGTACTGGGGATTAAATTGCAGGATTTTTTGTGTGTTCATATATTAATTTTTCTAGGGATAATTTCCAAAACTTTTATCAGAAGCTCAAAAAGATCTGTGTCTTTCTAAAGATTAACATTTTAACTGATGAAGAACCTTATTTCCAGAAACAAAACACATCCATTAAAAATAAAAGTGACATTAATATGATAGTGTATAAAGGATGAGAGATATTTTGAAGTTTGCTTAGTTATGTGTAAGTGATAGAAAATCTTACCTATGGCAAGAAAACAAATTGTTCTTTTCTGAGCAATTTATCATTTCCAGAAATCTAAATCACACATAATTTCATACTTCACTGTTTTCCCATGATCTGAAGACTGTACTTATCTTTTGTGAGCATGTGCTAATATGAGGTTCTGAAAATTGTTTTTATAGTACCACCCAGAGAGGTGGTATTATCATAATGTACAGATTGAAGTGTATGTCTTTCATTTATTTGAGAATGGGATGGGAGGGAGAGGAGAAATACAGGCAAAGCACTTTACAGTTAAGCAGTGTCTGTGTGAGTAGTTTACCATTGAAAAGAAGATGTAACTTGTAAAGGCTTAAAATTCTGTAGCATAGAATATAAAATCCTTCACAGTTTGGCTCTATTTTAGTTTTCTAACTTTACTTTGTAATATCATTCTTTTCTATAAGCCTCTTCTTCTAGCTCAACAGATCTGGTATTGTCATTTGAATTCTTTTGGTTTTTCTAGTTTCTCGGTTCTTGCCTCTTACTATTCTATTAACCCAGAACATTTTCTACCTATTTCAGCTTCTAAGTCCTATATGTCCTTTAAGATGGTTATAAATAGTGCAGATAGAAGATAATACAAGCCTGGAATGCCAGTGAAATGGGAACCCAGGATGGAGAGTAGAGGTCTTAAAAAGTATGAAAATGCAGGACTTGCTAATTGGATGGTGTGGTAGAAGGATGAAGGATAGAGAGGAAGAATTTCTGTCTTGGGCTTTTTAGATGATTATGCAAATCATTGAAATAGGAGATAGAAGTAAAACAACTCCTGATGAGTAATGGAGCCAACATGGTCCCGGTGGTCTGGCCAGGTCTTTGTAATTAATCATTATTTTGCTTCTGAAAGAATGAAATGTGAGTTTGTTTGCAAGAATTCTGAGGAATTCTACCATTTAACTGGGAAGTTAAACTATATAAATAGTTAAATAATACTGAATATAGGAACTAATGAATTGCCAGGTGTGGCATTGCACGCCTGTAATCCCAGCACTTGGGAGGCTGAGGCAAGAGGATTGCCATGAGTTTGAGGCCATTGGGTGCTACATGGTGAATTCAAAGCCAGCCTGAGCTACAGAGTGAGGCCCTGTCTCAAAATAAGATAAGACAAAAGAACGAATTAATTATTAGTACATGCAGTGTCCTCATGGAAACTGCTGTTATGCAAAGATGTTAATGATGTAAACTTAGTATGGTGGTGCACAACTGTAATCCTAGCACTCAGGAGGCTGAGGCGGGAAGGAGGATCACTGTGGAGTTCGAGGCCAGTCTAAAGTACATAGCAAGACATACTCTGTCTCAAAAAAAAAAAGTTAATGGTGATAAATGGCATTTTAAACTGTTATGTGCTAGATACTCTTTAAGTGCATTGTCTCATTTAATCCATGTATCTACGTGAGGATAGGTGCCAGTATTTCCACTTTATAGAGATAAAGCTGGGCACAAAGAATTTATTTGCCTAAAGTTTGAAACAGGTTCTATTTTAGACAAAGTAGGCATTCAGTAAATGTTTGATACATAGTTTGAAATCTTTGAAGAAAGTCTAAAAGAAAGAACTGACCATCAAAACCAGGAAGTCATCCATAGTCACAAGTATCCAGCTGCCTTCCATTAAGGGGATTTTCATGTAATGCCAAAGAGGATTTGGAGCATGCTGAAAGGATAAACAGCCTTTTTGTATGTCCTTTTTATCAGTTCGTACACTAGGAACAGTAGTAATTATGTTCAGCTGCTAACTACTTGAGGCCTCAAACAGTCCTTCACATTGTATTTTATGGTCTGGTCAGCATTTAGCAAGTCACCACCAGAGCTTTTTGTTCTTGAACTTGTGGTAATAGAAATTTAGTTATTTTCTCTCCACTCTGCCTCAAACTCAAACTAGTGGCTAGAATATTCAGGGGTTCCTTAATTTAAATACTGGGTAATTTGAGAATAGTTGGGCACTCCGGGATGAAAGAGCTTGATGTGCAGCATGGGAAAAATGAAGTAGCAGTGGTCTGCTTGGACTTGAGCCACATTTGGTGCACAGACCTTGCCTTGGTGGCCCTCCATCTCCTCTTCACCATGAGCTTCTCTCGGCAAGGGATGGCGATAGCTAGACAGAGTAGGCAGATTGAATTCTTTTTCGTAATTAGTTTTAAGGAATTCTATAAAGCCATCTGTATATGTTATCTGCTAGTGCTTTATATTTATAACTGAAGCTAGAATTCTGATCCTTTCTTTAAGTGACTTAATTTTATGTGTTCTCCATCTCCTCTATTTTTTTGAATATTCTCCACATTTTGAACAGTGTTTATTTTAGGAATGGGGAGGAATATATTTGTATTGTAAGTCTTAAGTTAAAGGATGTGGGACATTGCTTTCTACAATTTTCTTCTTCAAGTATTGGGTTAATTTAGTGGTTTTCAGTCTGTAAACTCTGGACCCTGAGAATGGATGGGAGGAGTAGTAGCCTATGGTATTTTGCAAGGAATCCTTAAATCTATATTTGTAGCAAGCGTTTTCTGTAGAAAAAACAACTAATTTGTTTCATATATCATTTATAGCCATTTTTCAAATTTCAGTGCCTATGCTTCAGTTTAGTAAACTAAAGAGTCACTTTAAATTATTACTGAATAGCCTTTCCTCATTACATATTTTCTCAGTCTATAGTGACAGAAGGGGCAACCATGATCATTTTGGGTGACTGTGATATTTCTGATATTAAAGAAAAATGCTGCTTACATTTGAGGTTGGTAACTCTTGGTTTAGTTTTAAATTATGACAAATATATCTTTTCATAATGCCAAATTGACTGTAATATCTTATAAATTAAAAGCCTAGACCTTGGTCATATGCTATTTACTTTAGGTGCTAATTTTTTAAATTTACATAGTTAGCCTAAACATATTTATATCTGCTCATGAACTATTTCCACAGTCTATGTTTTTATTTCATAATAGAAGTTAGTAGAAAGGAAAATGAGAGGTAAAAATCTTTAGTGATCATTTATGCCCAAATAAAGTGTATGTATTCCAAAGCTTTGAAATTATTTTTAGATCTTCTTACTAACTTATCTGGAATAAAATGCTATTAATTGACTTCTACTTTTAGTATGCTTTTTGAGGTCATCTGAAATAAAGACTTTGATTTCATAAAAGTGATTTTTAAAAAATTTTTAGCCAAGACAGATGTTCCCAACAAACAGGTGTTCTGAAGGATTATTTTGAATTTCATTTTTTCCTTATTCCTTTGAAATGCCAAGCAGAGTTTGACGTGAGTCATGTTAAGATGTCTGAAAGTATGCTTCTTTTTCCTTAAAAAGAATTATAAATTTATATAGAATTTTAGTTGATGGTTACTATAGTACCTTTATTTTGCTAGATAGGGTCAGACACCTGTGGATATTGAAGGCTTTGAGCACCATATAAAATTGACCAAATCCAAAAAGAAACTCATAACAGGGAAGGAACATTTTTAATAGATCACTTCTTTGAATTGTGTAAGTCTTCAGGGTAAGGATTTCAATTCTTTTCAGGTAAGCGTGTTTAGAATAATAATAAATGTGTATACTAATAAAAGCCTAGAAGGGTAATTCTTGACAGGGGTTGGAGGGCTTGATTATCAGAGGCTGATTTCCTCTAACTGCTTTGGGGGTCAGTGCCTCAGAGCGGGCAAAGACAAGGACTCCCCAAGCCAGGCACTATTTATGGGGTACACACCATAGCTGGAGGGAGTGTGGAAGCAAATCTCACGTGATGCGGGTGGAAAGGAGAGCACTCCCAGGACAGTGAGCTGAGCTGATAAGGAGCTCCTCCCTCCCCAGGTAAAACTTTTCTCTTTTGTGTTACTCCTGGGTTCTCAAGGAACCAGGATGTCTTCAACTGGTGTCTCCTTGCCGTTGAGCACCACAGTGTCACAGAAACAGACCATTGAGGCCTCATCTGTGACCGGAGGCAAACAGAGTTGTTTTCTCATGGTGTCACCGGCTCTTGGGCAAGGCAGCACTGGGCCTTCGATAGCTATAGTCATACTTGAATTGTGAAATGATTTTTCCCTAAAATTTATGTAGAAATGCTCCCGACAGTTAGTATTTTCTACAGGGTATTTTAATTTACGTATTTATATTTACTGTGCTTGTTAGCTAAAAAGTCATCTCAAATGGTTTTAAGATTTTGGTATTTATAGTCCCTTGTTCTTCCATTATTGAGTTACTGACTTTGTTCACATATTTTTGGTATCATATGTGTTTGTAAGTTGTATTAATTAAAAAATACGTGTTTTCTCTCATGTGGAATCTTAAAAAGGATGACATTTGAAATTGGAAAAGTCTAACAGGGAAGGGAAATGGGTAGGGGGAAGGGAGGGGAGGCCAAGATGCACTTTCAGGGAGGGTGGATTTGAACAAATTACAATATGTGTATTTGTAGAAATAACACAGACCTATTAATCTGTACAGTTAATATGAATTAGTAATAAAAATAAAATATGTCTATAACCTAAAACATATACTGTGTGTGTGTGTGTGTGTATATGTGTGTGTGTGTGTGTGTGTGTGTGTGTGTGTGTATATATATATATTTTGTGTGTGTGTGTGTGTGTGTGTGTGTGTGTGTGTGTTTGGTATGAAAAATTTGTTATCTATAATAGGCAAAATCCTTTTAGTAGTAAGCCGGGCATGGTGTCCCACACCTGTAATCCCAGCACTCGGGAGGCTGAGGCAGGAGGATCGCTGTGAGTTTGAGACCAGCCACATAGTGAGTTCCAGATCAGTCTCAACTACATAGTGAGACACTGTCTCAAACAACCAAAAAAAAAAAAAAAAATCCTTTTAATAGTAATAAATTTAATAGTATAATATTTGGGAAATCTATGTATAATGGCAAATTTGATATGTGTGTAGTTGAGAAATATAAATATGGAGATACATATTTTGTTATTGTTTTGTGAGATTGAATCTCACTATGTTGTCCAGGTTGTCCTCGAACTCCTGGACTAACCTACTTCACTACCTTAGCTTCCCTACGCTGGATCTACAGGCATGTGCTATTGCACCCAATCTGAAAATACATTGTTATTGATAATTCAAAGAGGATGAACTAAGTTCCCATTACAAAACAGAACAAAGCAGCAGAGTCACCATAATTGTGTGTTGCTGTGGTCATGTTTTACTTGAGGGTATAAAGTCTGCAGAAGAGACTTAAATGTTACACTGCTTCCCCAGCCACAATGGCTGTGCACTCTCTGACTCCTTTCTTTTCTCTAATGCAGGTCAGACTGTTTTACTCTCTCAGCCTGCTGTTGTACAACTGCAGACTCCTGGAGTTCTGCCCTCTGCTCAGCCTGTCCTTGCTGTCTCTGGGGGAGCCGCACAGCTACCTAATCATGTGGTGAATGTGGTGCCAGCCCCTGTGGTGAGCAGCCCAGTGAATGGGAAACTTTCTGTGACTAGACCTGTCCTACAGAGTATCACGAGAAGTGTGGGTTCAGATGTAAGTGTGAACTGTAGTGCTTTTTAATACCTCGCTTCAGAAAAACTAAAGCCACCTTTTGCATTTGTTAACCAATTTGATTTTTAAAGCTTGTCATATTTCATGAAATAAGAATGTGTTGAAATTGCACATTCAATAGTTGGTGGGAAATTAGGGTAAGGCTACTTATTGGAGAATCTAAGGTTTTTAAAAGTCTGCAGTGGCTTGCTGAGCTTCTGTTTATTCTTTCTCTAGAACCTTCTTGTACAGTCTGCATCCACCCTGTCAACCCAATCAGCCACTGATATTTTACAGATTCTTTCATATTTCCTGATTGAAAATGCTCTTAAGAATTCTTCAGATAAGAGTCTAAGGACTACTTTATAGGCAGGTTTTATATTTAGCTTCTCTCTTGAGTTTTTGAAGTTTTCAGCACTGTATAATGATAACTTGCTACTCTAAGGAATTCTGCCTCTTAAAAATTACTTGGAACTTTCTCATCTTTGTAAACCTTCAAATTTTCTAGCATGTTGTAGGGATTTCTTGTAACTTATAAATCACAGAGTTTCCTAAGATCTATTACTTCCTAAGCCTGTTTATAACACTTGCCAGCTAACTCTTGCTTTCTTTCAAAGTGATTAAAAATAGCTCATGTTATTTATTTAACAGTAATTGAATATCAAGTTTCTAAAATTTAGTCAAAGGTAAGCATAATAGTCTAACAGTGGATTGTTTAAAATTATGATTGAGGAAGCAAAGCCTATGTTTTCTTTAAGACAAAATGGGCATTACTTTTTGTTAGTATTGTTACTCCTTCCTTTCTTTAGATAAATTACTTTAAAAATATTTTCTAAATCCAAATTTTTTTTTCCAAATCCAGTTGAGTTATGGAAGGTAGTTTCTAAGACCACTGTCTGGTCTACCTACCAGAATTTATTAACCAGCATATCAGTAACCCATTTGTTGTGAATTTTCTCTACTGTTGCATTAACACAACCAAGTAATCTTACTTGACTATATTGTAGAAACTCATAGCAAAGAAATATTGCTGAATGAGAGTAGAGCATCAAAATTCTAATGTAAGAGACCTATAATTTTTGAAGGCATATAAGAATGGAGGACGTGACTAATACAAAAATTAAGGTTGAATATTTTGTTATTTTGAGTACTCACAGTACTTATGGCATAGTAGGCACTAATGTACAATATGTGTTTCAGATGGCTGTTTATTTTAAAATGCTCTCAGGGAACAAAGTGAAGACAAGATAGGAAAGCAAGATCAGAAAAATATTGATAGGCATGGAAGCCAAGTGCTTAATGTGTCTCTCCTCTTGGTTCATGGGAAAATTTTTAGAAGTGAAAGAATGACAGTAACAAAAATTTACAAAAAATGCATATTTTCAATTAAGAAGTTGTACATCCAACAAGAAAAGGGTATGATTTTCACAGGAGACTTAAGAAATTTATGGATGAAAGAGGATTTAAAGAGAAATTTGAAAGAGTCCTTAAAATTTCCTTTGAATACTCCTCAAATTATGAACTTGAAGGTTTCTAGTGTAATCTTCCCAATGAAACTAACAATACAAAATATTTGAAGTTGCTTGTATGTAGTATGCTAGAACATTTAAAATATTTTTCACAAATACTTTAGACATTAAAAAGATAAAAATCTAATTACCTTGAAATAGGTCAATAGTATGTCACAGTTGTTGGAAATATTGATGATGTAACTTAAGTCTGTATCATACAATTATAACTGTGCTGTCCTGGAGAAATCCAGAGGAACATAGGTAGGATGGGGAGGGGGATATACAAACCATGTCATGGGTAGGAGAAAGGTTTAAGGGTTGGAATGAAGAAAAGACTGAAAGACTTGGGAACCATTGTCTAGGAAATGAAAGTTGTCATGTGGAAATTAGGAGAAGTGTTCTGAGTTATTCTAGAAGACTTACCTGGAGTAGGTACAGGTAAGATATAGAAATGTCTAGTCTAATCTTAAGATTTTTTAGACAGCTGTTTTTAGAATTTATTTATTTGAGGCAGGGTCTTGCTTTGTAGTTCAGGTTGGCTCTGAACTCACTATGTAGCCCAGGCTGGCCTCGAACTTGCAGCAATCCTTCTCTGCCTCAGTCTCTTGAGTGCTGGTGCGATTACAGGTGTGCACCACCATGCCTGGCTCAGCAGCCATTATATTTAGAAACCAGAGGAAGTCACTGTTGGAATACTGAGCATTTGTTTTTGTTTTTTGGTACTGGGGATCAGACTCAGGTCTTTGTGCTTGCGAGGCAGGCAGCAGAACCACTGAGCTAAATCCCCGGCCCAATACTGAGCATCTCAGCGTTGGTGATCATTGTATGCCACTGATCCATTTTTTAAATTTCGAAACATAGTTCAGTTAATTATATGTTGACCAGTGAGCCAGACATCTTTTATTGGTTTGTAGATATGAAAGACCATGTCTTTTCTGCTTTTGCATTCTTTTTTTTTGAGAGAGGGTCTTACTATGTAGTTGAGACTGACCTGGAACTCACTATGTAGCCTAGGCTGGTCTGGAACTCACAGTGATCCTCCTGCCTCAGCCTCCTGAGTGCTGGGATTATAAGTGTGCACCACCATGCTTGGCTACTTTTGCATTCTTAAAAGGGCTCTGAAAATTTGTTGAGTAATTTGCTGACAAAGTCTCAGTTAAGACTGAGGAATTGAGGTGTGAGAAAATATAGTTCTAATAAATACTAGCTTTGGTTTTCGGCATTACTTATTTTAGCATTCTTACTACTTTTCAAAATTTAGAGTTGACAGTATTATGAAAGATTCAAGTGCTCTACATTTAGTACAAGAGACTTAAAGACTATTAGAATAATTTTTCTAGTCACCCTGCCTTGAAGTTTTTGTTCTTATTTTTACTTGGCAAGCACATTAGCGAGTGAGCTAAGTCTTGTCAGTGTGAGTTTTTTGGTAGAGGTTTTGATTGAATATTTGTTTCAACTAATGAAGCATTAGTCTGTCCTATCAGCTGGCCAAGCCACTCAGGAGCCCAAAATAAATCTGTTCCAGAAGGAGCTGCAGAAGAGAAGTTTGATCTGCTCATATAATCTTTCTGTGTTAGTAACTTGGTTGACCTCAACAGTGCATGTATTTGTTAGTCTTAAGTCTTGTTAAATTAAGATAAATTTGAATAAGTATAAATTCCTAATCAAAATGGTCAAAAACAATAACAAAAAATGTAATCATGCGCTTTTTATGCTCTTAAACCAAAAGTGTGGTGAAAAAGTTTTAATTCAGCAAAAATATTATATCAGTCTGTTGTGGTTTTATGATGCTGACATGGCTACATTTTTTTCTACCTTTTTTTTAGGTCTCTTTTGGGCTGGTTGCTCTCTCTTGAGGTCTGCTACTGCCATAAGTAGCGTTTTTCGCATACCATATTCTGCAAACTGCATTAAGTGCCACATTTTTGTTATGAAACAGTTTGCCTGGTTCAAATTATAATTTCACTCTTCCTGCCTTTTGCTGGTAAATCTGTTTTGTTTAACTCTTGGAAACCTTACCTTAGTTTTCAAGAAGTATGGTTTGCTTTTTTGGCTCTGATCCTGATGGAAAAAATGAACATAGTCTCTTATTTCAGTGTAGAAATTCTCTATGCACTGTATTAATAAATGGAAATCTTCGGAACTACAAAGTGAACTTCGTAGGAGAGCCTGCTTATCTGTCTTTAAAGGGCAATTGAATGTTGCCAGATGTCAAACCGAGGGCTGGAGAACAAGCAGTCTGTTTAAATCTGCATTGCACTCACTACTTCTGCCTACCCATCATAATAGCAAAAGGTTGTGAAACATTACTGTTCTGGTTTTAGGGTTGTGGAATTACATTATTTGTGTTACTAGGATAAAGAGCCAGGAAAGGAGTGATGAAATTATATTCTGCATATTCTGCCATCGGCCAGGGGATAGCAAAAGACTGAGAATGATCAGAAACTGGTATAGAACTAGGAGTAACCTCAGATGGAGGTTAATTAAGAGGTGCTGACTGTTCTTCCAGGAGATCAAAGGTATTCTTTCCTACCTGCCCATTCACTCCAGTGAACATCTTTCAAACCCTTCATTGCCTTGTACCCTTTTCCTACATGTCTAGTTAGAGGTCTTGACTTTCTCCATTCCTGGGGACTCCTTGGAAGTCTCAGTATGGGGTCCTTAGAGCCATTATGAAAAGAGGTGCTGGGGGAGGGAGGGAAGGAATTTATTTGCACAGGCCGACAGGTATTAGAGATGGTATGAGAGGTATTCCCCTGGCCTACCAAATTGGAACTTTGTATTTATTTTCCCTAGAGATGGTTAAGTTAGAGATTTTAGTTACTGTTAGTATTATTAGCATGGGAGTGATACAATATAGCCCCAGATGAATGCTTTGTATATAGCTTTTTTTTTTTTTTGTAGTAGAGGAACAGGAACTTGGAGAATCTACCAGTTTTACAACAAGTAGGAAGCAAGCCTCCTCCAGGTCCAGAGGGAGACTTTTCCTCATCCTTTAAAGTTGCTTGCTGGGAACCCAACCCCGAGAAATGGCCTGGGTAGAGTGATCAGGGCTTTGTATTCCTTTTTTGTGGGGGGTACCAGGGAGAACTCAGGTCCTTGCGCTTGCGAGGCAGGCCACTGAACTGCTGAGCTAAATCCCCAGCCCAGGGCTTTGTATTCTTAACTTACCTACTAAGACATGTAGGAGCAAGAGATTCCCTAGTGATATGTCTCTCAAAAAATATGTCTATGATAATGCAAGTGCAAAGCAACTAAAAAAGTAAACTGAGTGTGTTTGGATTCTGTTTTAGAAAAGAAGCAAAACTTGCATAGATACGTAAGCTGTTACTTTTATTTGTAATACCCAATAACTGGTTCTTTGTGAGGCCTACTGTAAACCTGAGCTGGATCTTCTTAAACTGTGTGGCTAGTTTAGATCTACTGAGATAAATAATGAACAGACACATTTTAGTAAGTTTTCTTGCAACAGAAACATTGAAATCATAGTAT